CACCGCCACCCGATCCCACTGGGGCCAAACCCTCCTAGCCTGGACCTGCGGTGCTCTTCCCCCAGTTCACCTGGGTGACAAGCTATCCTTCTTGGAGACATTAAGGTGGAAGATGGAGGGGGCCAGGCACACTGCCAGGTTTCCAGCTGTCATCTGGTTTTCCTCAGCGGATGCAATGTCACTTAGGAAGTAGAGCAAGGTCTGTAGGACTTCTCGGTTCTCATCAGGAACAAGCAATGTGGCAGCTTGTGCTGCTGCCAACCACTGATCCTTGGGGAGGACTGTGGGGAAGAAAGGACACAGAGCCTTCTTTACCTACCCAGAGGCACAGGCAGCAGACGTCCTACCTCCAAGAATGTGCGAAGCACAGCAGTCCCAAGGGGAGCCAAGGAGGAAAAGTTTCTTGCGGCTCTGGGAAGTCTCTGGGGGCTCAATCCAGCTCTGTTCCTAATACACAGTGGGTAAGTCCCTTCTTTGCCTCAGGGCCTCAGTCTACCCTTCCATAAAGCGGGAGTCAACTAGTCCCTCCAAGTGCTTTTCCAACTCCAGAGAGTAAGTGTTCTCCTGAGCTCATGGGTCTGGCCCCAGGCTGATCCCGCACAAGCCCTAAGATTCAGGGAGAGTGTGCGTAGAGCAGGTTTTGGGGGAGAGGTGCAGGTGACTCACGCTGGTAGATCTGTAGGAAAGTGGTAGTGAGCTTGCTGGTAAAGATGGGCTCTGGCAGGTCCCGGAAATACTGCTTCAACAGGTCAGCCACATCATAGGCACACTGGCCCTCATAGCACACATTGTCAGGAGAGTTCTCATTCAGCTGGCGCAGATTCTCGATCCTGGACTTGACACCAGACTTACGGAAGATGCCCACCTGGCTCACGCAGAACAGGGACGGAGGACAACATGGAGGGAGGAGGGAGACTGTGAACATAGGCCATCATAGAGACTCCAAAGCCTGGTGGGCTTCCCACTGGGCTAGGTGAGAAGTAAATGGCAAGGCCAAAGCAAAGGCTTTTGACAACATAGGGGCCAAGGAGAAAGATGGGTTTCTTAGAGATGAGAAGGAAAATGTGCCTTTTGGCTAAGGCATGCTCCTAGCAGATGAAGACTATAGAGCCTGGGCCAGAAAGCAACTACCACAAAGGTGGGTTCAAGGGCCCAGTCCTAAGAAGGGGAAGGAGCTTTGGCTCCATCCTTGCTGGGCCTGGCTGAGGCCAGGAGGTCTCTGGTGGACAGCCCAACCTAGGGGAAGGCAGATCAGCTCCCTCCCTGGCTCCTCAGCAAGGGCCTCCTGCCCCAGTACCATCTCCCCACAGACCACCCCAGGGCTCACCTGGTCCAGGCATTGGCTGCGCAAGTAGCGCATGGCTTGCTGAATGCTCTGTGGCAGTGGCTCGCCTGTTCGCTGCACATGGATGAGGGGGGGCACCCCAAATACATGCTGTCCACGGTAGTCTGGGGTCTTGTTCCTTTTCATGAACTTGGGCACTGACCTGTTTGGGAGAGTGACAAACAAGGAGGGAAGAAGAGCACTATAAAGACTCCATCTACGGTCTCAAGGGACTGAGGGAATAGGGATGGTGAAGAGAGGAGGAAAACACCATAGCCCAGAGTCCAGACTCACTGAGCACCGGCTACGGGCCCAGCTTGAATGAGTCAAAGATACAGGGAGCTCTTGGTCAAGGAGGTAACTGTGCCAACAGGCAGTGACAAATCATGTGGCCAATAGTCAGCCAAAACCCTATGGAGCCCCATGAGGGAGGGGAACTGTACCCAGAGGGACAAGGAAGGCTCTAAAGAGGTGGCAAGACTCAGCAGGCTCTCAAGGGATAAGAAGGTTTCTTCCAGAGGAGAAGTGGGGCAAAAGCATGCCAGTCAGAGAACAGCATAAACAAAGGCAGAGAGGTGGGGAAAAGAGCATGGCACATTCAGAGAAGGGCAACTAGTCCCACTGCTGGGTAAGATATGCCTACTAGAGAGTGGCAGGCTGAAGAGTCAGGAAGATGACGGGGACAAGAACATGAAAGGATCATGATGGAAAGGAATCTGGACAAGGGGAGCCATGGGGCATGGGGGTATTTATTTATCTGGAGTCTGAAAACCACAGCTACATTTTTGGACAATCTCACCCATGGCAGCATGGAAGCTAGATGAGAAGGAAGAGCCGGAGGACCTGTAGACCTCTGTCCCATAAACATCCTCACGGGGTCCCTCCAGCCTCCTGGCACAGCACACCTGCTCCATAGGCCTGGCGGTTCTGCCTGCCTGTACCCTCTGGGAGCTGCCTACCATGGCCTAGGAGCCACTCACCAGATCCAACCTTGCTTGTGGGGCACAGTGTACTTCTCCATGAAGGTAGTGAGCCTCAGCAGTGAGCCCTTGTGTAGGAGGTTGATCTGACCTGCAGACTGCCAGTTAATCTCCAGAGACTCTGAGTTGAGGCTGGGCTGGTGGGAACTCTGGAAGCTATGCCAGCGGAGCTTCCTGATGGGAGTAGAGAGTGGAGAAAGCCAGAGAAGCAGATTTGGTGAACACTTAGAAAAGGATGTGTGCTTTTGCCCCCCCTCTTTATACCCAAAGAAAGAATATACAGGAGGTAGGACCACATTCAGTGCTGCTAGTGGGCCTCATGGTAAAAACAGCTAAATTTTGGCTGTCAGGTCTACCCAGGGGCCAAGGATCTCTTGGGGAGAAGGGTGGCATCGACCTCAGGCCCAGCCATGCCAATCCTCTGTACATTCCAAGACTACTGTGGAGGGGTTGTGCCTAGAAACCCTCAATGGCAAAGCTGCAAGGCAGAGACTCTCTCCTCTAACACCCTTACTGCACAAAGAAACTAAGGCCCAGATGGAACAGAGGCTTCCATTTCCTCAAGGCCATACCAGGGCAGGTCCTGACCTAATACTTTAAACTCCCATGTCTCATACCCTTTCTGTTTCTCTTCTAGAATTGCTTGTTTGGAGGTGATCACCCAGCCCCCAAGAATCTGCCCCTGGGCCTTATGACTAAGAAATTGGAGAGAGGACAAGCAGAAATCCCTGCCCCTAGCCTCACCTGCAGGGTCTAGTAAGTGAGGCTCCAACTCCTGAATCACGCCGTTCCCGGGTCACTGATGCCTGGAGTCCTACCAGGGACCCTGCAGCTTCAGTCTCATTCATGGAATTCCCACTACTGTCAAGCTCACTGGCAGAGGCCATAGTGTCAGAAATGGAATGTGCTTCTTCCACAGAAAGGCTGGAGGCAGAGGTGGGTTCCCCACCTGAGTTTGTCTCTTGCTCATTGTCCTGGGGCTCGGCTTCTGCTTGTGCCAACCGTCCAGCATCTTCTGGGGCCTGAGCCAGGATCTCTGATTGGACTTCCGCTTGGACCTGGGCTGGGAACTCTCCACAGGCTGGAGCCTCTGCTGGGACCAGAGCCTCAGGCTTGTCTTCAACCTCAGCTGTGGCTATTTCTACTGATGAAGTGGTCTCTTCCTCTTCCTCTTCCTCCTCCTCTTCCTCTTCCTTATCTCTAGGCCCCAGTTCAGGGTACATAGCCTGAGACCAGAGCTCTACCCGTTGCTGCAGGCCCCACACATGCTGAAGGATGTCATCCAGGTGGGCATAGCTGTTCCCATGCTCCTCCTCTTCTTCAGCTTTGGCCTCAGTCAGTACAGGCTCAGCTGGATATAGCTCTGGCAAGTTGTCATACGTGCTGGCATGGCTGCCTGTTGAGCCACAGGAGCCCCGGCGTCCTTCATAGCCCCAGTGCCTACCTGGCTGCCAATCTTCCAGGCAGTGTCCATCCTCTGGACACAGGCTTTCAATGGAAAGAGAACGAGGGAATGTGCCTGGTTTATGGTCCCTGGGCACATGTACCAGGTAGTTACCCCGGTATACCTGCTGAGGATGCCGTAATGTGGCCACAGGCCAAGGCTCCCAAGCCCTCCGAGTCTCACCACCACTACCACTGGTTGAGGTGGCTGCCTGATTCTTAGCTCTATAAAATCCAGATGAGAGGAAGCCACGGCAACTGTGAAAAGATGAGGCTTTGGTGGCCTTCTCCAAGGTGGCTGGGCTGCGCTGGATCTCTGTTTGCCGACTGTCACCCTTTTCCTTTCGCCTCAGAGACTCAAGGTGTTTCAGGAAGCTGCGGGTATGGTGCTTCTTGGCTTTGTCCTGGGGACCCACCTGGCCTTGTGTAGGGCTAAGCCGGGGCTGGTCACTTGAGCTGGGGACACAGGCTAGCAGAGGCAGGTTCACTTGCTCGGGTGGTAAGCTCATAGAGATAGCTGGCAGAGAGGTGGCATTAAGTTCAGTGAGGACACTTTCACAGCTTGAGGTCACTGGCAGGCTAGGGCTTGGTGGGCTCTGCAGGTCAGAGGAACCAACATGAGACCATTGCTTGCTTTCCTGCTGGAAAGTCCAGTAGCTGCTGATGGTACACTGTTCTTCCTCTTCTGAGTCTTCATTCTGGGGAGGGCACCACAGGGAGGGGTCACAGAGGTCCAGCCCACAAATTCTAGCTTGTGTTCCATCTCTGCCTCTAAATTCCTGGGGCAGGGAGAGCTTTGAGGTGAAGGGCCTTGCTTTCTGGTCTGGAAAGTGCTAAAGGAAATCAGGAGTCATAGTCCCAGATGTATGGTAACAGTCAGCTAATTAATCTAACGCCTCATTTTACAAATACAGAAAGTGACACCGACACATGTGAAATCATTTGTCCAAGGTCATTCAGTGACACACACAGGGAGTCAGTGGCAGAGCCTCCTGAATGCTCAGGCTGTAATCTTAGACTTAGAATGACAAGATTACTAAAGCTGAAGGGGACTAGATTTTCTAATACTTTTCCTCCTTCGCAAGGTGAGGAAACAGGCCCACAAAGGGGAAAGAGCTTGCCCCAAATCACTCAGCAGTCAGTGGCAGCGCAGCAAGCAGGCCCCATGGATCTTGTGCTTCATAGACCAGGGCTCTGGCAACTTAGTTGGCCCACCTGACTGCAGTCCCCTTGAGCAAAGCCCAGAAGAAATCAACAAAGTTTGTACCCAGAAAACAACAGGGTCAGAAGGCCTACATTCCCAGAGACAGAGTTGGAAATGTGCTTGGAGGCTATTAATTCAGCCCCTCAATTCACTACAGAGATGGGGAAAATGAGGCTTAGGAGGGTAAGACCACATGAGGGCGAGGCTATGGGGATCCTGACTTCTGAAATGACAGAGGCTACGATCTACCACAGTATTCTGTGTCTGTCCTCTATTCAAGGAATTGAAACCATCAAAAACCAAGCAGTGGAAGCAGATGGTTTTCCTTGAGGAGGGGCCATCACTAAGTCATTGGTAAACCCAGATGGGAGAGGTGGGCTGAGGCTATGGCCAGGGTACTTTTTCTCACACTCTCCCCTAAAGATGCAGTGTACCAAAACCTAGCTGCCTCACAGAGCCTGCTGAACAGGGGCCTCCTACATTGCTCTGGGTGCTGCAGCTAGTTTCACAAGTAGTTTATACATGTCATGGGTTTTCTCCACAGTGCTACAGGTCAGAGACCCCATCCCTAACAGGGACTTACCTGCTTGCTTTGAAAATGAACCTCCAGCTGCATCGAGGCACAATTGTTCAAGGTCATCAGCCTCCTACAACAAAATGTTAAGTGTTCACCTAAGGGTCCCAAGTCCAAAGCCATCCTCTCAAGATCCCACCCACTACTTCCTAGGGTCAAGCCATGAAAATTTTTCTCCAAAGCCCCAGTGTCCCTGAATACTTTAGCACTCCAAATGATGCTGAGATTATGGCCTCTGTCCTCCAGAAGCTTACAGATATGGAAATAAACCACTACACAAACTAGATGAGTTCAAGAACAGAGTAGACAGAAGGCACAGGTATACAGAGGATGGGACCAGGCTTCTGGAGGGAAGAAATGTGATTCTGAGGGTGAAAGGAATAAGAATGCCTATCCTAGGCTTCGGGCCAATCAGGTACATCCAGGCAGATGGCAAAGGGCCCTGAGTGTTATGTTAATAATGCTTTGCTGTTTTGCATGGAGGCAGTAACAAATTTTAAACAGAGAGGCATCCACTTGCAGCTTTAGAAAGCCAGATCTAGTGGCTCTAAAAAGGATGGATGCCATGGGTGTGAGAGCAGAAGATAGCCAGTTAGGCAAATACTTTGATAGATCAACAGTCATGGTTTAACCTCAGACAAGGACGGAGTGGCCCTAAGTAGAGAGAGATTAAAGCTGAGAATGTTTGAGGACTATAAATTAAAGAGAAAAGAATCAAGTTAGGATCTGGGCTTTCTAGCAATAGCGACTGGGTGAGGCTGTCACAGACACAGAAAACAGAAAGAGCAACATGACTGCAAAAGAAGATTCTTCTTAATAAACTGGGCTCCTCTATCAAGAGCTATAGGGATTGTTTATTCCATGAGGAAGTCCCAAGCTGGGCTCTTGGCTTCCAAGGCCTGGGTCTCAGCCCCCTACCTGCACAAAGCCCCCAGAGAGTCTTCGTCCAGAAAACCGTGGTCCTTCTTCACAGAGGCAATGTCCAGGGGAAATGAACCTTCTGTATGTCAGAGAGAAGCAAAGATGAGTCTGGCAGTAGATCAGAAACTCATTCTCAGCAGCCCTGGGTCTGGAAGGGGGAGGCTAGGGAAAAGAGAAAGCAGGAAGGCCAGAGCCAAAGCAGAAGGGAAGAAGCCAGATGTAACAGTGGGCAATCTATGGAGCTCAGTGTTGGCAGTGGGAGAAAATCCAGACTGAGACTAGGAGGGTGAGCTGGACTGAAGCTACCGGTCAGTGAAGCAGGTACATGGGGAACATTGTGTGGCTGCCAAAACCCATCCTGAGTTCTTCTAGTCTCCTTTAAATCCTGGACTGCTCACACAGGGAATCCCCGCCCTGGCCCAAGCTGAAATGAGGACAATAGGGAGGGAGCAAGACTAGAAGGGACTGCAAGTAGCCAAACACTTCCTCAACTCCTTCTATTGTCCGGAGCAGTGGGAGCTCACTCTCTGGGACTTAGGGAAAGGATAGGAACAAGAAGGAGTTGAGAGAGGAAGAGAGAGAAGCTGAGAAGTCCCACAGCTCTCTTACTGACAAAATAAGGTCATTCATTCAGCCACCCATTCAACACATACTGATACTATTTCATGGCAGGTACTGTGCAAGGGGTCAGGCATACACCAAAGAGCAAAAGAAAAAGGACCTCTACCTTCAGGGAGTTTATACTGTTATAGGAAACAGATAATACACACTATACAACACTAAGAAAACTCAGTTACAAATACAATGAAAGACATAAACCAGGGACATGGGATAGAGAGGCTGGTGGAGGTGGGGATGGGGCTTCTTCAAAAGAGTGTCAGCAAAGGCCTTTCTGAGACAGTGATGTTGAGCTGATTCTTGAAATATAAGAAAATGCTGGTGGTACAAAGAAAGTGGAAAGAAGGTGGGTGTGGTAGCACACACCTGTAATACCAGTTACTCAGGAGACTGAGGCAATTTAAGGATAGTGAGTCCAAGGCCAGCCTGGGCAACTTAGCAGGACGCTGTCCCAAAATTTTAAAAAAAAATTAAAAATTCAACTGAAAAGGCTAGTCATAGCGTTCGATTCCCAATACTACCAAAGAAGAAGGAAGAAAGAGGAAGGGAGG